TCTATCTATCTATCTATCTATCTATCTATCTATCTATCTATCTATCTATCTATCTATCTATCTATCTATCTATCTATCTATCTATCTATCTATCTATCTATCTATCTACATATCTAGCCGCCTACGACCTTTAGCTCTCCTGGCTGTTTAGATAATGCTACCAATACCAAACTTAGTATTGCATAACACGACTGTATGAAGAACAGATTTGACTAGCCACGACATGAAAGTCATGACATGCATGTCATGAATGTCATCTTTACATTTCATGGTCCTGCAGCTCTGGCGGTGGTTTCGTTCACATGACCTGTTTTAAAACTGGTATGGTATAGCCTGATTGCATGGCGAACACAAGCGACTAACCCTAACATGAAAATCATGACATGCGTATACGTAACAACATGACAACATGCCACGCTCAGGATGCGCTCACGGCCATTTCGCTAGCGCCAATATACCAAATTTGGTATTACACTACGTGAAGGGATGACGAAGGTATCTGACTGGTGCAAACATGATAATCAAGAAATGCGTGTCATGTAACAACACGACTACATGCTACGCTCATGATGCGCTTACTGCCGTTTCACTAGCTTCACTTATACCAAATTCGGCATTGTGGGACGTGAATGGATCACTAAGTTATTTTACTGGGGCAAACATGATAAACATGAGAAGCGTGTCACGTGACAACATGAGTACAAACTGCGCTCATGATGCGCTCGCGGCCGTTTCGCTGCCTTCACATTTACAAAACTCAGTATTACGTGACATCATCGAATTACGAAGGCATGTGACTAGTGCAAACATAATATTATCACGAGAGCCTGTCATTCAGGGACACGGCTGCATGCCACATTTAAGACGTCAATACATTTGGGCATGACAAGGTGCGCGTGCTCGCCGGCGTAAAATTTGTAGCATTACGCCAGCGTTGCCACGCCAGGCACCGTTCCTGCCATATGATCACAGGTGTGCGCTGTGCTGCGTGGCTTTGACGCATGCGCGTTTCAAAGCATACGGCGTCCCTCCGTCACGAAAAGAGGGAGACGCAGTGTTGTCTGGGTAACTAATCGGGGCGAATTTTGCGCTGGTTGCCGTTGGGCCCCGCCAACGGACGCTGGTCGCGTTGGTTGCGAATGGCGTCAAACTATAGAGTGCTCGCATTTTAGGGGCAAAACTCCTTATAGCGGCACCCGTTCGTCCCCCGTAGTATGTAACAAGTATAACATTTTGACCTCCAAGGTGGTGCCGGTGAGAGACTTCTTCTCTGCGTTGTTGAACAATAAAAATAGTGCTCAATGTACATGTAAATGGCTGCTAATAGGTAATGAGAAACAGGAGCATTCGGCTTTTAGTTAACGCGCAGGCTGCGATCACTATTAGCAGCCATTGGCATGTACATTGAGCACTATCTGACAAGAAAGGGTTCCTACGTTATACTCGCTGGGTGTAACCTCCTTAGCTATGGAAATGTTTAGCGAGCGTTGAGCCGCGGTGCCATGAATACAATGAACTTGTATATACCATGAAGGAGCTCGAGGTGGTTAAAAATGGGAAGTAGATACGAAGCGCAAGCCGTAAGAAAGTAAAAGCCGAATTCTCCGCCTCTCATTTCCCATTAGCAGTCATTCGCATGTACATTGAGCACTATCTGACTAAAAACGTTTGCTACGTCATACTCGCCGGGCGTAACCTCCTTGGTTTTCGAAAAGTTTAGCGAGCGTTGGGCCGCAGTGCCATGAATATAGTGAACTAGTATATACCATGAACTCGAGGTGGTTATAGGTGGGAAGTGGACCCGAAGCGCAAGCCGTAAAAAAGTGTGTGTGTGCCACCTCTCGTTTAGTCCTTGGAATGTCTGCTGGATGGCGGTGTTTCTATATGGGGAATATATGATGAAAAGATGCGAGATGGTGGTACTTGGAGTGTTGAATAGATGGATGAACGGACATATAAACAGATGCATGGATGGACGCATGAACGGACGCAGGGACGGCTGCATGGACGAACGCAGAGACGGACGCATGAACAGACGCACGCACGGACGGGCTGATGGACGCGTGGACGTTCACACTGACAGACGCATGGACGGACGGAAGCAAGAACGAATGGACGGACGAATTCTTCGCCCCACTCTTCATCATTCACTCCGTGGATATGCTGCCATTTTTTTCTAACGTAGCGTCAGCTGTGCTCAGCGTGCGCGTGCGTCAACGCTACATTGGATTATATTGGGCCCTTCATTATGCGTTCGCAGCATGTTTTGCTAGCTCCACATATGCTAAATTTGATGTTACGTGACGTAAATGTATGACGAAGTATATGACTTCTGCAAACATGATAACCCTGACACACGTGTCATGTAGGAACATGACAGCACACCACGCAAATAACGAGCTCGCGGCCGTTTCGCTAGCTCCACATATATTAAATTTGGTATCACGAGAGAGAAGTGAATAGATTATGAAGGTAAAGGACACATCTAAACATGATAATCCTGACACGGAAATCATGTACACATCAGTTACCTCCACCTCGTAACGTTGTGCTGATTTTAAGCTTTCTTATTCGTCGCATATAATCGATTCCCACTTTACGTGAAAGCTGCCAATTTTGTTTTCTTTACTCGCATGAGTCCTGGTCCCATTCGCCGCTACCTGTGATGTTGTTCTCGTGCTATTTCTGTCCAGCCTGGTGGTACCATCATATCGTCGGTAAAGGGCTTGTTTGTGCATAGCGTCGCATCTTGATGATGGATTGACTGATATGTGGGGTTTAACGTCCCAAAACCGCCATAATGAGACACGCAATAGCGTCGCGTTTTCAGCGCAGCGAAAGAAGCACTGATGCCATTAGAAAAACGTCTCTATGTATTCTCTAGTGATAGAACACACCACCTAATACTTAGGTTTTGACTTTGCACCTAGATATTGATAATATACGAGGAGAGTTTTTTTTTAGGGGCGAAGCTCCTTAGGGCGTGGGCTGTGCGTCCCCTGTAGCCTCTATGTAGCCACCTCTAGTTTAGTTCTTGCAGTGTTCACTAGATGGCGGTACCGTCCTCTGTATGTAGCCACCTCTAGTTTAGTTCTTGCAGTGTTCACTAGATGGCGGTACCGTCTCCTGTATGTAGCCAGCTCTCGTTTAGTTCTTGTAGTGTTTACTAGATGGTGGTACTTGTAGCTGATGATGAAAAGATGCAAGATGTTATAAACTAGAAAGCGGTACTTGTAGTTTATGAAACAAATACAAGAATGGACCATTTGTACTACTTGGAGACTTTAACGTGGCTATCATAGACAATAATTGGCTTATCCAACATATGGCTTCTAGATATGCACTCAGACGTATATCGTTTGACCATATGAAACTTACCACGATCCGAGGAACATGCATAGACCTAGTATTTGCAAATTGCCCACTGCAACCCATACAGGAACCGCTCTCCCTTCATTTCACAGACCATAAAGCCGTCATAATGAAGGGACATCGCAAGCCATCCATCGTCTAAGAACAAATAAAAGTTAATTTGTGTATATACACACACAGCGTTTCTCACGTCATTACATGATGATCGACTGGGCGAATTACACGGAAGATTCACAGTTTACCGATGAATCCCTCCAGAGCTTCGCCCATTCATCATCATTCACCCCGTGAATATGCCGTAATTTTTTAATGAGACAAATTCACAACCCGAACTCGCTAAATGAGGCTGTAATGGCACATGAATGCTTTCGATTTCTCTCTAAAACTGTAACAGTAAATTATTGCCTAATAATACAAGTTCGTTACTAATGTTTTCATAGGAAATTTTGAAGTATTTATGCGGGAATAGAGCTTGATTGATTTATATACGGGGTTTAACATCCCATAACCACCATATGATTATGAGAGAAGCCCTAGTGGAGGGCTCCAGAAATTTGGACCACCTTGGGTTCTTCACCATGCACTCAAATCTGAGCACACGGGCTTACATTTCCGCCTCCTTCAGAAATGCAGCCGCCGCAGCCTGTATTCAATCCCGCGACCTACGGGTGAGCAGCCGAGTACCTTAGCCACCAGACGACCGCGGTGGGGCGTGCAAATAGAGCCACATTTAGCCTAGTTTCGGTATTAGATCTGTCCAATTTTGAAAAGAAGTTCTTTATACGATTTCTGATCGACAATGATCACAAGCATGAACGCACACACCAGTTCAAGATGGCTCGTTTAGTAAGTGGTTAAACTTTGGCCAGGTGGCGTGACAGACAGACAGACAGACAGACAGACAGACAGAAAGACAGACAGACAGGCAGGCAGGCAGGCAGGCAGGCAGGCAGACAGACAGACAGACAGACAGACAGACAGACAGACGGACAGACGGACAGACGGACAGACGGACAGACAGACAGACGGACAGACGGAAAGACGGACAGACAGACAGACAGACAGACAGACAGACAGACAGACAGACAGACGGACAGCCAGACAGACAGACAGACAGACAGACAGACAGACAGACAGACAGAGGTTAACAGGCTAACAAGGACCGATTGCTTGAGCCTATCAGGCGCACTGCTAAAAGCTCTGATTGCCATATGGCATACCAAAATTGATTTACGCAGTCATAGCAGATGACATGTTTGTGGAGGCTACGTTGGGTGCATTCGTTGAGGAAACGTTATGTTATTCTGGATTCCAACAACAGTGCAAAATAGTAACCCCAATATCATTTATGGGCACTTTTATATGAGAGTATTTGTTTTTATTGATATTTTTGCTTTTTGTGGTTTTTCCATCACCTCTTTGTTCTTCGTATATTCATTCTAACTAGTTTTCCCTGTTCCAAAAAGCAGGCAGTCACGTGTGGCATTCTGGGTTGCAGTTCTCAGCCTGTTTTCCCTCCCTAATTCACCTGTATTTTCATGGTCTCTTCTCTCTATCCAAATCGTATATTATTATTAATAATCATAAACGAATTAACTGCTGAAGGTTTTTTGCCGCTGTATCCGCAGTGTACCACTGTGGGTCGCCGATGGGTTGGAGTGCAACATTCTGGTTTCGGGCGAAGAATGCCAGCGCCCTGTGGAGCCCCCGGTTGGCCGTGTTTGGGGATATGGGCAACGTGAATGCACAGTCGCTGCCCTTCCTGCAAGAGGAGGCCCAAAAAGGAACCATTGATGCTGCCCTGCATGTCGGTGAGTTGAAAATGTCCACTCGTAGACGGCGTTGCCCGTGCAGGTACCACAAGGCATAACAGTCGTGACTACTGTTACCTCACCAAACAGTACACCATTCATTCATGCTTTCTGAAACAGCTGGAACTGGGATGTTCTGAGGGTTTATCAGAACCTAAGCAGAATGAAAGCGAATGAAGCGAACAACAAGAGGGGCACAATACGACAGTATTCAACATAAGTTATCGTCCTGTAACTTTAATGTACCCAAGAAACGGTGTGACATACGTCACAATCAAACATGGACTGTACAGTGATTTTCTAAGCAGAGAATTTTTCTTTTTTCGGGGAATTCTCACCTGTCACTTTGGGCCAAAGAGAAAAATGAAATCTTCGTCATATTGCGTGGCATTTCAGGAATGGTTAAATTCTCCTGTGATGACCGATAATTTGCAGTCACAGTGCGCCGCCATCTGCTGTAATGGGTTCTGGCGCATGCACCACGCTGGCATAGCCTTTGAAATTTGTTTCTGATATTTAAATGAAGCTTTTTATGGTTCACGATTGGTGTTAGCCATGAACACCGCAATGTACAGTGTACAAACAGTATATGAATGATTAATGCCATGCATTTGTTGAGCGGCAGTGGAGGGGCTAGTCATGGTTGAAAAAGCTGCCAGTACACGAGACACGTGTAATTATCGTATGTCTGTGCGTATATGGGGGCAGAAATTAGTATCTTTGTGCAAGGAAACATGCTGGGAATTTCGTCAACGTTTGCAGGGAAAAATATCCAAAATATGGAATTTTCATGTCTATGAATGGGAATTCTTCGGCTTAGTAAGGGAACATCAATGCATGTGCACCAAGATCACGTTAACAAACTTCAACCAGTCAGCCAACGTTTGCCCCCAGGCCGTGAAAAGTCATTTGCTCCCACCCGATACCTGCCGAGCCATGGCTAAGCAGAAAGGTCAATTTTTTTTCCTTGGCTAGAGATGATGACCTCACACATGAGTGGCCATGAACTTTTACAGATTTCGCCTCAGTAATTCTATTTGCTAGTTGATTGCATCTACAACACAAGATGACACATTCATAGAAACAATATGTGCAACCACATGTTTTGCAATGCATCACAAGTAACCCTCCGATTGTAATAGAGTCCTCTGCGCTTGTGCGATGTTCGAATTACCAAGCATTCAGGCCGTGGCCTTCTGGCCAGCATGATATCTACCGCATGAGAACAGCAAAAAGAGCAACTGCGTCCAACATTCTAATACAAATATGCCCACTTTCAACAGTAATTTAAAAGCCATTAATAATGTCCCACTTTATGCCCTTTCATGTGCATAGCTTATCTGCTAAGGTGCTTTTCATGTTTTGCCAGTGTTGAATTTTAGCAGCACCATTAAACTTAATTGTGAAGAGCCGGTATAACTTTGATCATAGTGTCTAGCTATTCTTCATCGATCCAAGAGTCTTACATTATTCCACCCTTCCCAATGACCTAATTGCAGGTACAATACAGATAATTGAAAATTTTTGCGTCAGTCGTTTTCAATATGGCTATGGCGTGAGTAGTCATTTCAGAGCTTTAAAATTTTTGCTTTTCATGAACTTTCATGACATGAAATTATGATATGTAACTGCAGAAAAAGGTGAATTGCTCCTGTACCTAATGAAATGTTTAAGCTCATTTAGATAATGAGCGGTGTCTTCAGCAGTGCCCCTTATTGGCTGGATGGTGCAGAATAGATTAGAAAAGATTCTTTTGTTGCTGTGTCTTTGTGTGGTGATGCCTTAAAGAAGTGTTGGCAGAAATATCGATGTGCTCGGATTGTCTCTCTAAATAAAACACGGGTGCCTAGAACACTAAAATGACTGTCGTAGTTCCAGTGCATATATTTTTTAAACCACTACTTTCAAAGAGCAATTTCAGTTTCGCAAAAATGAGTCAACTCCCATGTGACGTCATGAGAACAGCATAACTCACAATAAACTTGAAAGAGCTGCCGTTGTTAGTCTAAGGTGGTTAACACAAACTACAAGCAAATTGTCGTCTAGAAACTCAATCAGCAATTTTTGCGATTTGGACTCTAGGCAGAATGCAAATTTTTACTCCCAGTGAACCAACCATGTTGATTTCAGATAATGATGCCCATTCCAGTGCGGCATACTTGAGACCAAAGAGAAATATTTCATACGCGTTTTCTGGCTAGGTCATGCGGAGAGTGGTAATACGTTAATAGTGCACCCAATGAAGAAAAGGAAATGCCCATATGTCCAGCAATGTCCGTAAACATGTTCTGCCTACTCTGTAGTGCATTTCAATGTTCGAGTAAGTGCTCGCCTTCCCGGGCCCGCGAAAATAGACCAATAAGTGAATATTCGCCATTTAACGAACCAAAATGGTGAAATTAACATGAATATCTGCATGTGCATCAAGAAAAGTCCTGTGCAGCGGCCTTCTGCCATGCTATTCTGGGAATCGCACACCAGGACGTCGAGAACCTGCCTATATATTGAATCGGTGGTCTGGAGGGCTCTGGTTGTTTTGTCGGAATAGCGCTGTCAATGCTTCTGGAGACCTATTCTTCCAGCTCGTGGTCACTGTTCCCCGAGGCTGCATTTAGAGTCTCCAATTACTCGCTTATATCATCCTCGTAATCAGTGCTGCACACCTAAAGATTTCCGTCAAGGACTCGAAGTAGAGAACATGAAATCTGAGGAAATATTTAGAAAGTAGCATCTCGTGCTGTCGGTTTTCTCGCTAAATGACGTGCTCTTGCAGCTTATTTATACCAAGCAAAGTGGTCTGTTGTGAATGTTCATGGGTCGTTGATGGCACTGTCGGATCGCACTATGCCAGACAAGACAGAAGAACAAAAAAGGACTTATGATACGCCAAAAAAGTAACAACTACCTGAGCAATGATGCAACGCCATCCTTTAGGTCTTGTTAGGGATGTTTTCGCAATAACACTCATGAGTAATTCCTCATTCTTAAAAATCCATGTTCTAGCGCAATCAGCAGCATCCAAATAAATGAAAATGGGGTACACCAGTGGCATATACAGTTGAACCACTGCTGCAGAATAATTACGTATATTTGCGGAATTTACTTAAATTTTTTGAGGCCGTCCTTCAAATCACCTCATGTCATTTACGAAGTGAAATATGTTTGTTAATCTACTTTATCTGATATCATGAGCGACCACTCTTGAAAATAATTATACGTTTTTAAAGCCCATGTGAACACTCTAGAGCATAGCAAACGGGAGGAGCCTATTATTTGTTTACTCGCCCGCCTTTTTTTATATGTTGTGAGACATAAATTCAAATCTAATGTCTAAATGAAGCTCTATCTTGTGCCTTTTTATGTATATTTGCTAGCAATATGCATTCGAATACCATGCCTAATTGAATCTCCATTGTGCGTTTCTATGCATATTAGCTAGCGTATAGCATCCTCAGTGAGCGTTTTGTTTAGTAAATATACGTGTTTTTCTTCATGCAGGTGACTTCGCCTATAACATGGATTCGGTAAGGCAACTTCTTGTCTTTTAAAGTTGAACCTCGATACAATAAAATCAGAAAAATTCGAAATTTACTTAACTTTCATCATCAACATCATCATCATCAGCCTGACTACGTCCACTGCAGGACAAAGGCCTCTCCCATGTTCCGCCAGTTAACCTGGTCCTGTGCTTGCTGCTGCCAATTTATACCCGCAAACTTCTTAATCTCATCTGCCCACCTAACCTTCTGTCTCCCCCTAACCCGCTTCCCTTCTCTGGGAATCCAGTCAGTTACCCTTAATGACCAGCGGTTATCCTGTCTACGCGCTACATGCCCTGCCCATGTCCATTTCTTCTTCTTGATTTCAGCTATGATATCCTTAACTCCCGTTTGTTCCCTAATCCATTCTGCTCTCTTCTTGTCTCTTAAGGTTACACCTACCATTTTTCTTTCCATTGCTCGCTGCGTCGTCCTCAATTTAAGCTGAACCCTCTTTGTAAGTCTCCAGGTTTCTGCTCCGTAGCTAAGTACCGGCAAGATACAGCTGTTATATACCTTCCTCTTGAGGGATAGTGGCAATCTACCTGTCATAATTTGAGAGTGCTTGCCGAATGTGCTCCACCCCATCTTTATTATTCTAGTTACTTCAATCCCGTGGTTCGGCTCTGCGGTTATTACCTGCCCTAAGTAGGCATAGTCTTTTACAACTTGAAGTGCACTATTACCTATCTCGAAGCGCTGCTCCTTGCCGAGGTTGTTGTACATTACTTTCGTTTTCTGCAGATTAATTTTAAGACCCACCTTTCTGCTCTCCTTGTCTAACTCCGTAATCATGAGTTGCAATTCGTCCCCCGAGTTACTCAGCAATGCAATGTCATCGGCGAAGCGCGGGTTAGTAAGGTATTCTCCATTGACTCCTATCCCTAACTGTTCCCATTCTAGGCTTCTGAAAACCTCCTGTAAGCACGCGGTAAATAGCATTGGGGAAATTGTGTCCCCCTGCCTTACACCCTTCTTGATTGGTATTCTATGGCTTTTTTTATGAAGCACTATGGTAGCAGTTGATCCCCTGTAGATTTCTTCCAGAATGTTTATATATACTTCATCTACGCCCTGATTCCGCAGTGTTTGCATGACGGCTGATATTTCTACTGAATCAAATGCTTTCTCGTAATCTATGAAGGCTATGTATAGTGGTTGGTTATACTCTGAGCATTTCTCTATTACCTGATTGATAGTAAGAATGTGGTCAATTGTTGAGTAGCCTGTTCGAAATCCTGCTTGTTCCTTTGGTTGATTGAATTATAATGTTTTCTTTACTCTGTTAGCAATTACCTTTGTAAATAGCTTGTATACTACAGAGAGCAAGCTGATCGGCCTGTAATTCTTCAAGTCCTGGTCATCTCCCTTCTTATGTATTAAGATGATGTTAGCGTTCTTCCAAGACTCTGGTACTCTTCCAGTCAGGAGACACCTCGTAAACAGGGTGGCTAGTTTTTCTAACACATTGTGTCCTCCATCTTTCAGCAGATCTGATGTTACCTGATCCTCACCAGCAGCTTTGCCCCTTTGCATGCTCTCCAAAGCTTTTCTGACTTCTTTTATCAATACTGGTGGGGTGTAATCTGGGTTACTGCTAGTTCTTATAGTATTAGGGTCGTGGTTGTCTCGGCTACTGTACAGATCTCTGTAAAACTCCTCCACTATTTTAACTATCCTATCCATATTGGTAGTTATTTTGCCTTCTTTGTCCCTTAGTGCATACATCCGACTTTTGCCTATCCCAAGTGTCCTCTTCAATGCTTTGACACTTCCTCCGTTTTTCAGAGCGTGTTCAATTCTCTCCATGTTATACCTTCTTACATCGCATACCTTACGTCTATTAATCAACTTCGAAAGCTCTGCCAGTTCTATTTTGTCTGTTGTACTTGACTCATTATAAAGTCTATATCATTCTTATTTTCGCCATTAGGGCTCCTCCATGTCCACTTGCGGTTTTCTCGTTTTCGGTAGAAGGTATTCAAAATCCGTAAATTATTGCGTTCTGCGAATTCTACTAGTAGCTCTCCTCTGGCGTTTCTAGTAACGATGCCGTAATCTCCTACTGCCTGGTCTCCAGCCTGCTTCTTCCCTACCGTTGCATTAAAGTCGCCCATCACTATAGTATACTGTGTTTTTACCTTACTCATTGCCGATTCGACGTCTTCATAGAAGCTTTCAACTGAAGCGTCATCATGGCTGGATGTAGGCGCGTAAGCCTGTACTACCTTCATCTTGTATCTTTTATACAGTTTAATTACGATACCTACCACCCTTTCATTAATGCTATAGTATTCCTCTATGTTGCCAGCTATGTTTCTGTGAATTAGGAACCCCACTCCCAGTTCTCTTCTGTCTGCCTAGCCCCTGTAGCAAAGGACGTGCCCATTCTGTAGCACCATATAAGCCTCATCTGTCCTCCTATGCTCACTGAGCCCTATTATATCCCATTTAACACCCTCTAGCTCCTCGAGTAGTACAGCTAGACTTCCCTCACTAGATAAGGTTCTAGCGTTAAACGTTGCCACGTTCAGGTTCTAATGGCGGCCTGTCCGGATCCAGAGATTCTTAGCACCCTCTGCTGCGTTGCAGATCTGACCGCCGCCGTGGTCGGTTGCTTCGCAGCTGCTGGGGACTGAGGGCCATGAGTTATTTGACGTAAGCATGTGGGAAGTAGTGGCCAGATACTGCACCAGGGTGGCCAATCCTTCTCTGGTGAGGGAGTGCGTTCTCGGCGGTGTTGGCCGGTGAGGCTGCACCCCAGGCCTCTTAATGCAGTTCCATCAACACGCGGATTTTTTTTTAATCCGGTTGGGAACTGCGCGGTACCGGGATTTGAACCATGGACCTCTTGCATGCTGGGCGGATGCTCTAACCACTACGCCATCGCCGCACCGTCAAACCTAGTATACCGGGTCTATATCGAATTATGCCATATATCGAACTAATAAATGCTTTTTGACGAGTTCGATATACCCGGGTTCGACTGTACCGTCCACATACACCTCAATCAAGTTCGTATTAGTGGGGAGCGTCAACGGAGAATTTGGATCAGTCGCAATTGCTGCAGCGCTACCTCCCGGAGCTGCGTGGTCTATTTTTCCGTCCGAGAGGATTCATAGTTGACCGGCGACGGATAGCGGCGTGGTTGGGGCAATGGGGAACAACGGCGTTGAGGTGAAGGCGAACGAGCAGTGAAGCGGCTGTTAGGGGCGTCGGAAGAAGGGTACACACGACTGGGCGAATACCGGCGGGAGTCCTCGTATGGGAAGAAGAGAATTATGGGCTCTAGTTTGAGGGCGACCAAGTGCTGCGGCAGTAGCGGGAGATACGGCCAAACTCGGCAGCAGCGGAAGCAGATCGGTTTGTCGTCTGCAGTTCTCCATTCCGTCAGATTGCGGGATCGCGAAAGAAAATGTGAGTCATGGCGTGGTGAACTTATTATCATTGGTCTGGAGGTGGGTCGAGAGACAGAGCAGGTCACAGGAAAACCGAGCTTTGCAATTTCCTGCCTCACGATGGCTTGAATAACGGAGACTGCCGCAGGCGTTTGTGCGGCGGCATGGTCGAGTGGATGCAGAGGAAATGGTGCTGAACTTGACGCCTCAAGCTCCCGTTGAACTATACATGTCACGCTGTCCTGCATGGGTGGTGCGGCACCAAGATCGGTGCAGGTTGATGTAACAGCCGTGTTTGGTAGCCGCGTAAATTGGGGCAGAACACCGCGGCCTTTGGCCATTTCGAAGCGGCGGTATCCTTGATAGTCATATCTACGGTCATGACGTTGGGTACACGAGCAAGTTGAAGGCGTCATCCGCGATGCCCTTGAGTATGTGGCCCACCTTGTCACTCTCTGTCATTTGGTCGTCCACTTTTCGGCACAACGCGAGCACGCCCTGTATGTACGAGACATATACGACTCAGTTGAGGACTGCACACGAGTGGCAAATTCTTTCGCGCTTCCATTTGGCGGCCAAACGGGTCTCCAAAGATGTCGCGTAGTCGCTCTTTGAAGGTATCCAAGCTGGTGAGCTCGGTCTCATGGGCGTCGTACCAGACACGTGGGGTGCCGTCCAAGTAAAATATTACGTTGGCGAGCATCATGGTAGGGCCCCATCGGTGTGTCTGGCTAACACGCTCATACATACGGAGGCCGTAGTCAACATCAAGTCCAGGTTGTGCAGAGAATGTACCGGGATCACGGGGGTAGGCCATCGTCAGGTATGTAGTGGCTGGAGCTACAGATGGAGACGCTGACGGGTTGTTGTCTTGCTAGCCACGGCCGGAGACTGAACGGTGTGGCCACTGTGAAGCTTCGTGGTGAAGACGGGGAACGTTACATTTCCACCAAATATGTTACGGAAAAGAAGGGCCGGTGTTAAATACATCTAATCTCCAGCCCCGTATCGACAGGGCTGGAGATTAGATGTATTTAAAACCGTGGCGAGACCAGTTCACCAGCGATCGAGTGGAGACAACCCTTCGTCTTCCTCGTCAGGCACACACGTGCATCGCCCCCTAGAGTATCAATATGCACGCATATAGCAATATGAAGTAAGGCTGGCAGCCAACTCTTTTAGATCCAATATCGCGGAATTTCCATAGAACGCTGTTGTAAGCCAAAATGGCCGTTCTATGGAGAAGTGCTTCTTAAACAGTCTCTTCGCCCAAAAAGCGCACTAATGCTTGCCGAGATAGCATGCGCACCAGCTGTTGCAACTGCATCCTCAAAATAAAAATTCATCCTTGCTACTCGAGCATGAAAAAAACGTGGGGGAGGAGATGGAGTGTTCATGGCCATTCAAGACGGGTGGTTTTCTTTCTGTATGAGCATTCGACGGCAGTTCTAACACGCAGGAGGATGTTGTCGTTAGATTAGATTTGTGGGGTTTAACGTCCTAAAACCACCAAATGATTATGAGAGACGCCGTAGTGGAGGGCTCCGGAAATTTCGACCACCTGGGGTTCTTTAACATGCACCCAAATCTGAGTACACGGGCCTACAACATTTCCGCCTCCATCAGAAATGCAGCCGCCGCAGCCGGGATTTGAACCCGCGACCTGCGGGTCAGCAGCCGAGTACCGGGGGGGGAGGGGGATGTTATCGTATGTGCCCTCCAGGTGATAGAGATGGGCCGGCTTATTTCATCTTTGCTTCAGCAGAGATTGTGTGCTTTTAGCCGCATGGAAGTTATGATTCACGGGTGCAACTTATCAATTTGGACTAGATATGGAAAATGGCAGCGATAGCAAAAACCTGCCAGGAGTACCCATATAATAGCTATCATAATATTAACGCCGCCTTTTACTGCTAAATAAGTGTTTTGGGTTAGCTTTGCTTTTAGTTCTTTTTTGTTTAATTTGTGCATTGATTTTCAGAATTTTTGTATCGGAACTGTACGTAACAAATCCTCTTTATAACCAATTTTTTCGAGAATTTGTCGATTTTGTTATATCCAGGTTTAACTGTACATGCGGTTCAATAACGGACAGCAAGATTGTGCAGAGGGTTTAGCTAGTGGATAACCTCAACGTCAAAAACAAACTGCCACCGAGGGCTACCGATTTCACCGCAAGTCTTCCTCTTGCGCAATGGTTTCTATGTTTTGTTGACGAAGATAATGCTGAAGAGGCACCTCGACATGTGTAGGGCTGGGAAAACTTGCTAGCCGCAGCCAGGTTCAGCAAGAGAAGATGACAGACTATTTTTTATGACAGTGACAGGGTTGAAGCAATAAAAGTGCAGTTTATTTTGCATTTCCTTAATTGAAAGTGCATTTATTTCGAATTTTTTGCAGTTCCCTGAACTTCGTATTAACATAAGTCGTCTCTATAGTGTTGGCACACGCATGTCCCCTATTGAAGGCTGGCACTGGCATTCTTGAACATGTATAGCGAATTTTCCCATCTATCCACTTTTTTCCGACAGTGTAACTTTTCAGTAGATGATCAGCATTTTAGTATTTCCTGTTCTTTTTTTCGTTGTTTTTTACATGATGAATGCCTACCAACTAGTTAAACTTTTTGTCAACCTGAAACAATGGTAGGTTCTTACCTGCTGTAGTTAAGGCAACAGCTACAGGATTGTTTCCTGCTCGGGTAGGTTTAGATGCTGGCTTTACTGTAGACCTGCTGCTAACAGGTCGTTCAACAGGCTCGAGGCTGCCACTTGATGATGGGGCCCTATGGCAACTCCTGATGTGGGACTTAAGTCCAGAGCGCCAGGCACAGGAGAAGCTACAGAACCTGCAGTGATATGTGGTCACCACATCCATGAAATCCTCCAGGCGCTCCGCTCGCTCTACACGTCGACCAGTAGGCGCTGGAAGTTCACCAAACTTCAAATAATAAAACTTCAATTATTGCTGATTGAGCGACTAAGCTTAGTACAACTGCTGAACGTTTTTTTTTTTGGCGTGGGAAGTAGCAGAAGAATGTTCTTAGAAATCTTCAGAAGAAATAGCTGAATTGAACACGGTGAAAGAAATCAGTTTTCTTGAACGACAAATATAGTAATGATGGTTTTAAGCTGCACCTGCGCCGTTCTCCTCGTCGTGAAAGTACAATGTGCATTGACTTTATTAATGACGAGTACAACGCGTGCCTCTAATAAAGAAGGAACGAAGCCTGTTCTGCCCTCCCGACTCCAAAACTTTGGTTCTGTTCGAAAAAACACAACACCAATGCAATGATGTGTACAGGAGTGGCCCATTTGATTTTCACTTGATCCGTTGAGCGTGCAACGGAAGAGATGATCACGGACAGCGAATGTTCTGTAAACTCGCATACTACCAAAGTATGGTCGCTCATCAGCAGCTCATGGAGCTTCGCGTAATCTGCGCGAGCAGAAAACACTTCCGGTGGATCAAAATATATAGTAACCCTTATCTCTACCGACAGGTGACACTGTTTATGGGTACTAGAGAAAACTTTGACTTGAATTTCAGCCAAAGCCTCCCTATTCTTCAGTTACCTGTGAGGGAACTCAAGAAATTCTCCCTATAGGTTCGCACTCTCCCATAACTAACTCTCATTTGCCATAAACTCGAATATGCTTCCCTACTGCAAAAATGGCTAATTGATAAGTTAGAATAAATCCAGAACAGAACATGCCGCTTGATTTCTAGCAATAACAACTCCCAGGCGAGTGTAAGTGTAACACTAATCAAACTTACTTTTCAATACAATCTCTTAGCACACGACGTCACATTTCCTAGCTGTCCCACAAATTCATCAATTCATCTGTACTACCTCTAGAACACTTGAAGCTACCCTATTACATGTCACAGAGGCTTCATAACCACTTTAGCTATACCAGCGTTTACGAATAAAGATGTGAATTCCACTGCACTGTACTACGACTAGATGACTGATGTCATCGCCTGCCTGATAGTATCACATGTCTGACAAGCATTGATGAATTCTGCGACGCCACCAAATCGCTTACACACATATACCAGTGTAAACATATTTGCTTTGTTTTGGTAACATTTTTAAACTATATTATTGTATAGCACCATGGTATCGGGTTTTTTAATTCTCTTTCTGTTTACATGCAAACTGTAATACTCCAGAACAATCGAAATTTCCTTGATTGCTTCGCATTAGAAGTGTGTGATTATTTCTGTAAATTGCGTTTCATATTTGACACTGTTCATCTTTTTGTTAATAATGATGCAATATATAATTCATTCATTTATAAGACATTTCTCCATACGACGTAATATGATACATGGCTGCGGTACATGCCTATTTTTTCCTGAAAGTATTGCGGAAGCTCACTTTTTTGGGTAGCCTCATTGCACAAGATGGGCAGTTGAGTCGTTGGTAAATCATAAAAAATAACTGCATAAAAAAGTTTGTGCGGTATAGGTTTATGCATCTTGTCCGTGGTATTTTTTGCGCCCTGTTTTGATCAAGTACATGTGAGCATGAAAACTGCACCAGACAGATTTATTAAACCTGTAAGAACCAATTACGAGTTTGATGATCAATTTGTTTTTGTGCTTAGCTACTCGATAGAATATTTGTTTTATTGTAATGGCACGAATACTCTCAGTGTTTCTGTTGCACAGAGGTTTCAATCTCACATCAGCTAAGTGGCTGCATTGACGAAACCAAGGCCCGCAAGGGCCGGCGCACTGAGGATGGTAGAAAGTCAGAGGTGGCTTTGAACGAAATGCCACCTAACGCTTCCACTGGAAACAACACGGTCCCATATATAATTTATTGGTAATTTTAGAATGAAGTTTGGCGACGGAATTCGGAACATATAGACACTGTTATCCATAGTTACTCAGAACTTGGCACCCATTGTGAAATGTAGATAATTTGTTCCGTCATTATGACGAAACACATCGTGGCCTGATTGAAGGTCTGAAGAAAAAAAAAACGATTGTGATCAGTACCGTCAATGTAGCTTACCCGAAGCAATCGCTATTAATTGTAGTAGGCGAGTAAATGTTGCCGGTGCCATTTAGTGAAATGACGAACATTTGTATGTTTGTGAAGTCATGGGCCGCTGGCGAAACATCCGCGAGCTTCGGGTAAAATACACCTGCGTTAGCGGAATCTTGTTTTAGCAGTTCATAAAATATTTTGGGCAAGCTCTCTCTTCGCTGAAATTTGAAATTCAGAATGCGAAAAATCATCGTGAAATCTTTCTTCTGATCCTATTTCTTCAAGTTGCCATTACCACATAGTCTCCAGACAAGATGACATAGTAATGTAATAAGGTACTATAGAAGGTTATGTGTAACAGCAGAGACGTGTTTTTTTCCTTAGTTTAATCATGCAGAAGTTCTTATCAAACAGACTGTATTCATGTTGCATTTTTTCTAGGACAACGCCCGGGTAGGAGACGAGTTCATGCGTCAGATCGAGCCAGTGGCAGCCTACGTGCCTTACATGACCTGTGTTGGCAACCACGAAAACGCCTAGTGAGTGTTGCACTCGCTATAATGCGTCACTTTACTTGAACAGATGATGATTGCATTGATACAGGAGAGTAAATGTACGAGGGCCATGACTTGCAGCTAGGGCTTTTTTTTTTCTTGTTCAAGCACTACTTGTTCTGCAGCCTGTAAAACATCGCTTGGGTTCAATTCACCTAAATAGAGCTAAAAAGACGAAGGAAAGAATATCAGGTTCATCTACCGTTTCTGCTGATCAAATGGTTTACGTTTTGCCAAATATCGCATCTTGGTTTCTGCGAAAAAAAGTTATGAATCAATCGATCAATCAGTAATTTTATTTACTACTTCAGGAAGTAGAGGATATAAGAAAAAAGGCTCGACCAAGCTTCCCAGCTTTGAGCTGGACCAAGCTTTCGAGCGTTTTACGGTTCAACAAGCAGTGACAGCATATGAAAACTGGCAAACATAAATATAAATAGAAGGAGAGTGTCAACTATTCTTGCACACGATCACCCAAAAGAACACAACACGCGCTATTCAACAAGAAAAAAAGAACTATAAAACGAAAACACTACACCAAAGTTCAAGTTGAAAACTGACATCTTAGTTTGCCTGTTAAAAAAAAGATTTACGCTCATGCATGCACTTGAGTTGCGTAGTTTGTTTTGTCCTGCTATTTATATAGATATATATAAATATATTTTACAGTTTATATCTCCGATTGCATATAGTTGATGAGAGCACCGTCATTTCATTTTATCTGTATATTATTATTATAACCTTGCGTTCTCTTATTTTTGCACTGTTGTTGCCAAGCAAATACTCATGTTTACATTTCATAGGAGGTCCCATTTAGGTGTATACTACGGGACCTCCTTCTGTATATTCTTTTTTTTTTTTGCACATCTTATATGAACTAATAAAACTTCATTTGATTTGAATTGATTTGAATCCAATAGTTGTTTCGAATAAGAGTGGGTGTAAAAGGCGAGGTTATTTGTAGAAGCACGCAATATCTGCGTTGTCTACTTGCATTTGGTTTTGTGTCTTTTTCGCTGGTATTTGTTTTTACACGGTGCGTATACAAGAATCCAACGTGAAGCAACTAGCCCCAGTCATCGCTCTACTGACATTAAAAGGGCTGGTGACAGAAAATGTCGAGGCTATTCTAAGCTTGTTGTGGGTTTCCTCTGTATGCCAGGACTCTCCACAGGAAGAGTCGGACACAACAAGCGTGTGGAGTATATTTTATTCACTTCTAAAAGTGTAGCTGAATACTCACTCTCATGATATAGGCAAATCGCTTGCGCAGCAACACTGGCGTTTCAGAATAAGAGAAGCGACGGCAGTTGTCGTGACCTCATACGAGATTTGTAGTGACGTGAGTGAGCTCCGACATCTCCGAAACGCATTTTGTCAACAAGGGCAAAATGCTGGCGTCACTTGCAGAGACACTCTGTGCGTCCGTCAAGGACTCTGAGTGCTTTCGAAAAGACATTCGACACATCATTGAGAGACGTTGCGCGCGCCCAAAGGCGGGGCTGTCTCATCGTCCATCAGTATCTTGGCGCCTCTAAAAGGCCGGTGCATCGAGAATCGGGCGGCTTCCTCGTCTACATCATACATACGTTGTAAATATAAGCGCTTTGTTTCCTTCTGGCTGCCTTTTGCCTTGCCACTGTCTCTATGCTACTGCCGATGGCCATGGCGACTATCAACGCGTTTGTTTTGCTGACGCTTGGTGTTGCACGTGTGTGGCACGTGTGAGCAGACGAAACTCAACACGATGTGCGTCGCCACCTTGTGTCGGTCACGTGACCAAGCTACCTATGCATAGACGTCAATGCCAAACTCAGCGCCACGAAACCAAAACCTAAAAGTGTCCGCATAAGTATAGCGATAGTAAATTATTTAGAACAAATACACAAATTTTGGTTCGTGTATCACACTTCCCGGAGCTGAAGGAAACGCTTACAGCAAAGAACACGCGTGCAAGAAATTTGGTGGCACCACCCCTTTAAGCATCGCAACGAGGTAGCACTCCATGTGTCAGCCCTTCGTCGCTTTCTTTTCCTGAACAAGAGGTGCGTCAACTTTGTAGAGTGTAAATTCATTGCTTAAAGTTGGAACTGCGTATACTCGTGTTGTTTTTCTTTGGTTCCAATATATCGAACACGTGTCATGTGCCAGTGAGTGGCACAAATACCAATGGCAAACATCAATAGACATTAAGATACTACTTAGCATGCGTTTCCTTTAACATGTCCTTGTCCTTTCCCACGCTTGAGCAAAGATTATGAAATGCCCTTCTACCAACGAACCCACGTAGCCAACATCATTATGTCTGCTTATGAAGAATGCTAGCAAATGCGAACTGTCGGTGACAGGTCGAGACGCACAGAATGCCTTGAACTGCTAGCCACATTTATTTTTCTAAAATAAGCATGAGCGTGCTTTTACCTTGATTTACGCGAAAAGAAAACAAAAAGAGCAGGAGAGACAATGTACAATATCTATTTAAAGCTGTTTAATTAGGCTGCACCATAGAAACATGCCACTGCTAGGGGTACCTAGATTGCAAGAAAAAAAAAAGGTCTTATAAGTTCTATTTGATGTTCAACTAGAGTTGTTCGCGAAGATTTGACTCTCCTAACAGTGTTTTCTCTCCAATTTTTCAACATTGACGTTTATTTTATCACCGATGGTGGAGTAGCATAATTCTTCACCAATGCATCCATACTATTATATTCGAGTGGCGTCAAGTGACTCATCAATCAAATCAAACTTTTTTTCTTCCACCGGCTACGACACCATTAGTGCAAATTTTCTAAAAAGCTGTAGTGTTTACAGCTCTATCACAAAATCCAAATCTTTCTCAAGAATAGCTTGACACGGGTTATATCGCGGCCTTGTGGAAGATAGGAAAGGCGATTTCATTTCGCAAGTTATGTAACAAGTACTTTCCATTTGAATAATGACCCATTTTGCTCACCAGCATTCCACGTATACTTCTAGACCATATATTGTTTTCTAATCTTGCCAACTTTCTTGATTCTAGCTCTTCTTTCCCGATCAGCATGGCTTTCGTATTTTTATGTATGCGAAACACAAGTAGTATCATGCACATAATATTTGCATGTCATTCTTGATTATTGTTTTTATTGCAGACTGCATACTTCTTGATTTCGCAAAAGAGTTTGATAATATTCTCTCGTAATCTGATAATGTACTACTTACACCAACCTATCATAGATCGCCAACTTTTCACTTGGCTTGAATTCTTCTTAACCAGTCGTTCTGAGAATGTTTATGCAAACACCTTCGACTGACCATCCTGTCAGGATCCCCACGCTTTTTTGGAACATGAAATCTTGTTGGCCTGGCCTCCACTCAATCAAGTGATCCATGCAGGGATTAGAGCTGCCGATATATTAGCCATTGGAGAGGGAACTGGCCTTTGCAACTGAAAATAGCTGTGAGCCAGCCAATGGAACGGTGCCGCTCTGAAGGCTGTGCTAAGGAATATATGCCGCAAAAAAGCAAATCTAATGAAAAACTACCATAAATTAAATTTCTTCTATTGCATTACACTTAAGGTGCCTGGTTTGTTGACTGCATATCTCACATAGCATGGCCACACGCGTAATCAAGGGCTCAAGGCAGGCCTAAGTAGGACTAGCACTGCTCTAAACTGTATTAAAATAGGCGAATAAGGTCTCAAATATTGTAAATAACAGCAATGAAGAACAAGTCATTAAATATTTTGTGATAAATGCTCAGGCTACTCTGCTCTTTGATATGCCTTGTATTTACTTTTCACTTTCATTTTGCTAATGGCGACCACATAATCAAGACAAAGGAAGCCAAGCTTTTCCTCGAGGACTTCGAAGACCAGCCACAACTTGTCGCCAGAGCCAACAGGGCAGTCGAAGCCTGAGGATTTCTGGACAAGGGAACCCTCTCACCTCAGGGTGATACCGGGCATCGCTCGGAACACTGTTTCAAAATAAACGTTTGTTTCTCTCTCTTGCCATCTTCATACATACTTTGCAACCTCCGTAGATAATGATAACTGCATGTAGCTTTATTTGAAGGCTGTTTCTTTTCCTCTCTTTTCTATTGACCCAGCAACTTCTCCAACTATGTCAACAGATTTTCTATGGTCGACCAGAGTGGGCAAGTGAACAACCATTTCTTCAGGTACGCCTTTCCTCTTGGCTGCTTTAGTGATTGTGCTGCGTGACACCAGGGTGAGTGTTGGGTGTTGGCCCGGTGGATTTAGTTTTTCATGCATGCCTAATGATTACAATTATTCAAGGGATGTGTTGTGATGATGTGGGTAAGTGGTGTGATGACGGCTATTAGATGAAGACGACTGCCAAGATGGCACGACGCACAACTGCACAAGACGCCAGGAAAAGCGCTCATACAATGAGCGTTTTTTATTTCATGAAGATTATTAGAAGATTTCATAAAAATAATAATTATAAAGAAAGCGGCGGGCAGATGTCGCCTGCAGAAGATGCTGCTCAGAGCGTGGGAGTAGCGTCCCCGTGTAGCTGGCTAAAGGACGCTGGAGGCTCCTACTTTTCATCACGTCAAGCTTCAAGCTTCTTTCCTACTTTCCTACAAGCTTTCCTACAAGCTTTCCTACAAGCTTCTTTCCTACTGTGAAGATCTGCACTTGCAGATCTTCACAAGAACGCGCTAACCATGCCTACCTGCCATCATTAATATGGTATGTTACAGTGAACGGCTCTAACTTTTTATTGCTGTATCGGTCAGTTCTGAAGCCCATAAAGGATCTGTCTTTGGCCCCTTCTGATTTCTAATTTATATTAACGACTTACCTTCAAAGAGGTTTACTGAAGCTCGTTTATTTGCAGAAAAATGTTTCATTTACCAAAAAGAACCATTGCTTCAACCTTGACATCATTACAAAATGATCTAGACATCGTGGCACCGTGGTGCCGCACTTTGTTTTTGGTGCAAATGTTGCCAACGGCAAAAAATGCCCGTATCTAGGCGCAACGTTACCTCTCAGCCCCACTCTGTTTACAATATCTGCCTGCCAGCAACAGTTTTTGTGCGTGTTCAGGAAAAGCACTTGGTACTCTGCTATGGGAGAGCAAGAAGCCGACCGAACGGCAATGTCAACGCACACGTTTGAGATCACATCTATCACATAATAGCTTATGTGAACTGAACATGAGGCCACACTTTAGATTATTTTAAAAGAAAGTTCTATTATGCCCGCTGTTGTTAAGACAAATGCCTCATAGTGAAAAAAAACAGCGCAAAAATTACAAGAAAGCAGAAGAAACAAGTTACAACAGATATTTACTTTGGAATGTGCGCACATTTCTACAGTGGTAGTCAAAACACACGTGACTACCACAATACGCAGTTGGCCCACTGACGTCTCACGTCTGTTTTGCCAGCCATGGTATAAATGTGCCCTTACTCCAAAATAAAGATCAGTTGTAAATAAGTGCCTTGTCCTGTTTTTTTTTTTTAATGCAGAGCCTTTTATAGTCGCACCTACTTGCATGTCTGGCCTTAGCCGCGCTGTTCGCAACACCACTGCGCATGCTCGCGCCCCAGGTCTCGTGCCGCATCCTTGCATCTCGTGCAAACTCGTCGCTCCCCCCCCCCCTTCCTCTCTCTCTTCATAAGGCTGACACAAGCAGCCTCTGCTAGTAAAAACCGCGGCTGCTCCCGCTGCAAAACCGTTCACTGGCCAGCCCGTATATGTAAGGCAGTGGATCGCACATCAGCGTCCCACCACTCGTTGAAGGCAACACTTCTCCTTCATTCAATAAATACGAATGATAAAGATGAAATAACAAGTAAGAATTCCCAAACCATACCCAATTACTCAATGTTCACGCGATACTACCGCCGCTCTATCGACGTACTTACTCGTGTTCCCCCTTCGGAAGATACAGGCGGCTTTTTTTTTTTTTGTTTCTTCCTTGTCGGTTTGGCTCTGTGTTTTTTTTTTCTGACAGGACGACGCACATTGAGCGCATCGTCCAGTTTTTTTTTTCGTTCCTGTGTGCCGTGATTTTCTTGAAGCTTTCATCAAAAACATCTATCCGGAGTAGCTCTATCTTCTGTTACCATTTGCGTAAAGGCAGCTATTTTTGTTGGGCAGCGTGTTCTTTTGTTTAACTGCCTAATCTTGAACAATAATGGTAAAATATTTTATAGCGTTTTTCGCAGCCGCTGCTCAACTTAACGAAAAGTGTCGATCTTCTTGTCGGCCAACTTACTATCGAAGGGCAACGAGCACCTCGAAAGTGTTAGTACGTGTTTTCAGGTTCTGTCTGTGCCATTCGCTTTTCTTCAGTGTTTCTATGATTTCTGCTTGTGCTTACTCTTTATGATTTGATTGAACTGGGCAACTTTGCGTTCAGATGCACCGTGTGCAATCAAGTTTATGTGCGGTATATAGGACATGTTCGGAGCTATATGTATGCAGCAATAACAAATGTGGTGTAAAGTTGAATTCTTTGTGTGCTGAGTTTTAACATTATCACAAGTAAACTTGTGGTCAGATGAAAAGTTTTAACGGATTGACTTCTCAGTTATGATGATTCTTTTTTGTTTTCTTCCTAGTTTTGACATCGGACCAGCGCACATCATCAGCATGTCCACAGAATTTTACTTTTTCGTTGAGTACGGATTCCTGCAGATAAAGCACCAGTACGAATGGCTGGAGCAAGACCTCAAGGTATGCATACTCTTTCCGTCACATATATCAATTGACCCGATTTATATGAACCTCCACACCTGCCTTAGTCTTGCAGAGTAGGGGGAGGCTGTTTCAACTAGCTGTCTGGATTAGATAAACAAAAAATTGTGGGGCAATCCTGTACCAGCAGTTCATGAGGTGATCCATGCGATTTCTACAAAAAGTGAACCTTTCTAGCACCCTGTTGAAGTAATTTCTTGTGCTGAGTGTATCTCAAGTTCCAAGCTCAAAGTACTCAAGACCACTCACCATGAACAAATGAGAAGTATTAGTGGAGGCTAAACGTTGAATAATCGCTTAGAAAATGTGAAGAACGTGCATTGTTTTTCTTTCTGCAAAACTAATACTTTAGCTGCTTTCATTTTTGTATAGATGGGTTGGATGGATGAATGAAAGAACTTTATTAAAGTCCAATAGGTCGTGCTAGTCTCCTAGCACGAAGCGGGCCACTCCCACGTTGGGACCAAAAGACCTAGCCTTTCAGCCGCTTCGCGGGCCCGTTGGACAGCCCGTAATTGTTCCTCTAATGTAGAACTGCGCAATGCTGCGTCCCATCGTTTTGCAGTATTTTCCTCATCGCTGCGTAACGCGTAGCAATGCCAGAGCATATGAGCAAGATCTATGGTGTCGTGGTGTTTATCGCATGTTGTAGGAATACAGAACTCCGGAGACATCCTTTTAATTAACAGCGGATCCGACAGGTTCTTGTTTGTGATAGCCTGAGCCTAATGGCCTGAGCTCTGTTTACTTTACTGTGTGGAGGGGGAAAAGACCCTGCGTCCTCGGTAGAAATGTTTCGTTAGCTCGTTCTACAAAAGGAGGTGAATCTTGCGTTCTGAAACACCAGCATCTTAATTCTTGCCTTGTGGCTTGTAATTTTTTTATACGAAAGTGAGCGCAGCCTAACATGTTTAGAAGACACATATTTGAAGACTTGCAAGAGCGTAATAGGGAGTTAACATGCCTGCCAAAAAAATTGAGTGCGTGTATAAAGAGCCCGCATTGCCCATTGAGGCGCGAGTCACGATGCACTATCTGCAAATGCGTCCAATTCGCAAAACAAGTGGTAAGGCGCGCAGAGCTACATTAAAAAAAGGAAATAAGGAATGCGTTGCTTTAGTATGTTAAAGTAATTATTCTTAATTAAGCAGTAAAAATATGTAATAATTATGCTATGAGTGAGACTTTTTTGTACAAAAAGAATGAGAAATACGACCCGAAAGGCGTGCAGTTTGTTTTATTTGTATTCTTTCCAAACGAAGAAAAAAAACATTGTTGATTGTCTTGGTGAGGGGCACGTCTAACGATTGTCGGACATGGTACAGTATTAATTTCCAACCAGGCTTTTTCAAGATCTTGCTCGGCAGGCTTTTAATGCTCGCGCCTTGTCCAGCGGTGATAGCTGGCGTGTACGCGAGTGTTGCCTCTTCATACTTCTCGGGTCGCCGCTCAGGACGGTGATTTCAACAATGCTCACTGGAGGACTCCGCAGTCACCCAGAGCATTAGGGAGTGGCCATGTGGGCTCCGGAGGAGGCTGGGTGTTCCAGTACGCACATGAAGGCTTCCTACAAGACGGCAGTTTTTAAAGACGATAATTTTTCTTGGGAACCCTCAACGCAAAAATTTTGGTCTGTCTGCCTGTCTGTACTTTTGTCTGTTTGTCCAATCTAAATGGTATCGGGTACACTAAACGGCACCAGCTGGTACGCCGAACGGCTGACCCCAACCGGAGAGCCCAACAATGTTGCTCAAGATTCAGCGTTCATACTTGTGCGATTGTCAATTAATAAGCAATTATTGCGCATATCTGAGGCACCATAACCACACATATACTTTGATGATCCGCGCACGCTTGCCTCCTGGCGACTTTGTCCACCTCGTTGTAGTCACTTCTTTGATGGCTTTCCCCATGCCCACTGGGCTCAACCGAAGAGAAGCCACCCTTCTTAATCGCTTATGGCTAGGAGTGGCATTGCAAAATCTTATTCATTTGTCATAGGAATGGCCGACAACGCTCTCTGCGATGCCTGTCGTTGCTAAGAGACTGTCCGTTGTATGACATCTAGAGACAGTCACTGGCGTCCAATCTTGCGCGCATCGACAACAGCCAAATGTCTGTGGACGCTATTCTTTCAAGTGCCCGAGAGAAGACATTGCGACAGAAGGCGACAAAAGCCTTGTTAAAATTCCTACGCGGCACGGACTTGAACAAGCGGCTGTAACAGCAATGTCACACACCGCGAAAGATAAGGCTTGACTATGACTGTGTGTGCGCGCCTGTGCGGCCGAATAGGCTGCGTTTGTCTCTCTTCCCTCTCTCCTCTCTATCTTTCATCTCTCCATCCCCCTCCCATGCGCAGGGTAGCAAACCGGCTGCCTATAGGCTGATAACCTGCCTGCCGATCTTTTCCTTCTATTTTCTTTCCTTCCTTGTAGTCGCTTTGTAGGCGCTGCACAACGTGACAATTCCCTACAATGAGTGTTACGCACAGGTACCCGATATTCCCCCAAGCCTCTTCAACTGCCTGCTCCCAACTCCGTAGAAGAACGCCTGTTATCTCCACGTCAGTCATTCAAGAGCGTTACGCATTTGACTCCCGGCAGCGGCCAGTATGGCATAAAGGGGCATGTGGCTGACTTGCTGATCGCCGTGGCTAGCATTGTGTAGGGCCGGTCGCGGAACGTGGCTCACAACAATGCCTTCGACATACAGCACAGATTATGCGCCGGCTTGTTAACAAACCTTCCTACAGAAATGGTCACGCCAAGAAACGCATGGTGCCCCTCCGAGCAAGCTCTTCTAACATCATTCACTTTCTGGATATGGTGGTGATTATTTTTCTGCCACCGGCATGACATCATTATGAATATTATTATTTTTTGCACTAGTTGAATAACTTCTGCTACACCCAAAAAATCAACAGACTCTCTTTGTAGGTGTTAAAGCGTGGTTGAGCCTAGCATTGAGCTATGTTTGTCTCAAAATTTTCGTGAGATCACCCGTTGACATCACAATGATGTCGCTTCAGAGTGGTCAGATAGACGTCGCGTGAGTCTCCAAACGTGCACTGCCAGCAGTCAATGACAGCTGTTTTCACTCATATCCCGCATTGTGCTTTTCGTCAATTTCCAAACAAATATTGGCAGATTTCACGAACGGTGCGAATCAATGAGATGTGAAGCACGATTGAGAAATGTAGATATGTCATTTTAAATTAGCGCAAAGTTATGATTTGAAGGTAAATGATGCCGTACATCACTTCCATGTCATGGTTACTATGTTTGGATATGTCGTTTACCTGCGTCATCTATTCACGTCACGTGATATTAAATTTAGCTTATGTGGAGCTACTCATAGAGAAGAAATACAGTTAAGAACAGCCGATGGAAAAACCATACCCATAGTCGACTGGATCAGAGTACTGGGTCTGCTCATCGAAGCCAAGGGCAACAATGGAGAAATCCTCAGGCGATTGGATGCAACTGTAGCCCAAGTAATGAGACTCATAAAAAGGATAGCAACTAAGCACAGTGGCATGCGGCAGGAAAACACGATAAGGTTGATACAGGCATTCGTGATTAGCAGAATAGTATACGTAGCGCCATACTTAAAATGGCAAGTCGCGGAAAAGATCAAGCTAGACTGCCTCATTCGAAAAATATTCAAACTAGCTATAGGGCTACCGATTAGCACAAGCACCGACAAACTGTTACAGCTAGGCCTGCACAATACAATAGATGAGATTATTGAGGCGCAGCGTACGGCGCAATATGAACGTCTCTCTAAGACACGAGCAGGAATACATATTCTAGAGCGACTAGGTATAACGTATCACACGCAACGGCGTTAAGGTGGACATTCCAAAAGAGACCAGGGAAACAATGATGATACCACCCTTGCCAAAAAACATGCACCCCGAACACAATAAAGCTAGACGAGAGACAAGAGCAAAACAAATACAAAAAAAGTTCGGTAATGACAAGGACGCAGTTTCGTAGACGCTGCTCGATACAAGCGCAAACGGGGGTTTACCGCAGCCGTAATCGATAGCAACAGACGCTGTATGACATGCGCGACGATACGCACCACAATTACCGAGACAGCGGAAGAGGTAGCCATAGCGCTCGCTGTAGCTCAGACAAACGCAACCGTGATAGTCAGTGACTCTCAAACGGCAGTGAGAAACTTTGCCAACGGCCACATCTCCCCGGAACGCATGATGCTCCTCCGAGCAAGCTCCTCTAACATCATTCACTTTCTGGATATGGTGGTGATTATTTTTCTGCCACCGGCATGACATCACTATGAATAATATTATTTTTTTGCACTAGATGATTAACTTCTGCTACACCCAAAAAATAAACGGACTTTCTTTGTCGGTGTTGAAGTGTGGTTGAGCCTAGCGTTGAGCTATGTTTGTCTTAAAATTTTCGTGAGATCGCCCGTTGACATCACAATGATGTCGCTTCAGAGTGGTCAGATAAACGTCGCGTGAGTCTCAAAACGTGCACTCCCAGCAGTCAATGACAGCTGCTTTCACTCATATCCCGCATTGTGCTTTTCGTCAATTTCCAAACAAATATTGGCAGATCCCACGTACAGTGCGAATCGATGATTTGTGAAGCACGATTGAGAAATGTTGATATGTCAATTTAAATCAGCGCAAAGTTATGATTTGAAGGTAAATGATGCCGTACATCACTTCCATGTCATGGTTACTATGTTTGGATGTGTCGTTTACCTGCGTCATCTATTCACGTCACTTGATATTAAATTTAGCTTATGTGGAGCTAGTGAAACGGCCGTGAGCACACTATGAGCATGCTAGTTTTTCATGTTCTTACATGGCACGCCTGTGAGGATTATGATGTTTGCACCAGTCATGTATTTTGCCATTTATTGATGTCACGTAACACCAAATTTCGTTTATGCGGAGATAGCAAAACGACCGCGAGCGCATCATGAAAGACCAAATTTACTCAAATGTAGCTTTGACGTGCGCGCACGCTGGGCACAGCGACGCTGCGTTAACAAAATGCGAGCATTTTACATTCTGACGCCAGGCACGACCAGCGTCCGTCAGCGCGGCCCGACGGCAGCCGGCGCGAAATGAGACATGCTGCATTTCGCGCTGATGCAATACCCAGGCAACACTGCGTCTCTCTCTTTTCCTGACGGAGGGACTCCGGACGCGCTAAAACGCGCATGCGTCAAAGCAACACAGCGCGGTGCGCACCTGCGAGTATGTGGCAAGACCGGCGCCTGGCGTGACGCGACGAAAAGAAAGCCGGTGAGCACGCGGAACGCATCACGTAGAAATGTATTAGCACCTTGACTGTGGCATGTAGTCATGTTCTCACATGGCACGAATCTTATGATTATCTTGTTTGCACAAGTCACATACCTTCGTCATCCATTGGCGTCTCGTAATCCCCAATTTGGCATTTGTGAAGCTAGCGAAATGGCTGCGAGCGCATCATCAGTGTTGCATGTAGACATGTTGCTACATGACACGCATGCTGTGATTACCATGTTTGGATGTTTCACTTACCTATGTCGTCCGTTCGCGTCGCGTAATACCGAGTTTGGTACATGAGAAGCTAGCAAAACGGCCGCAAGTGCATCATAAGCTTAGCGTGTAGTCATGTTGTTGCATGACACGCATCTCATGTTCATCATGTTTGCACCAGTATCATACCTTCGTCATCAATTCTTATCCCGTAATACCAAATTTGGCATAAGTGAAGCTAGCGAAACAGCTGCCAGCGCATCATGAGCGTGGCATGTAGTCATGTTGTTACGTTATACGCATCTCATGATTATTATGTTCGCATCAGTCACGTACCTTCGTCATAGATTGATGTACTGTAATATCAGTTATGGTATATGTGACGCTAGCGAAATGGCCGTGAGCACATCTTGAGCGTGTCATGTAGTCATGCTGTTACATGACACGCATGTCATGATTTTTATATTATGGTTTGTCGCTTGTGTTCGCCATGCAACCATGCCATACCAAACCAGTTTTGCAACATACCATGTGAACAAAACCACCGCAAGAGGTGCAGGACCATGAAATATAAATTATGCCATACATGACATACATGTCATGATTTTTATGTTATGACTAGTCACTTATGATCGTCTTGCAGTCATGGTAGAGTATATCAAGCTTGGTATCGACGCCATTATCGAAACTACCTAGGAGAGCTAAATGTGGTAGGCGACTAGATAGATAGATAGATAGATAGATAGATAGATAGATAGATAGATAGATAGATAGATAGATAGATAGATAGATAGATAGATAGATAGATAGATAGATAGATAGATAGATAGATAGATAGATAGATAGATAGATAGATAGATAGATAGATAGATAGATAGATACGCCCGAAGTCACCGACGTTCGCTAAGAAATGGTTCGCATTCAAAAAATGCAAGGACTGTTTTCAGTGCGAAGCTGCAAAGAAATCCTCAAGAATCCCCCCCCCCCCCCCTTTGTCATTAAGAAACACTCTCCGATATAGAGACGCAGTCTGTTGAGAAAGGTGAATTTCTCAGCCAATCGGAAGCTTCCCTGTTGAGTATTTTGTAGCTTTGTAAACGAAGGGATGAATGAACCCATCTTCCGAGTTGCAGGCCTGAACTTCACAGGCCTCTTTCATATACATGAAGAGCGCGGCTAAGTGGCCTTCCTTACTTTCTATATTTCTTCTTTTCTGGTCTTAAACCCTATTTCTGTTTCTTGTATCCTTTTGTGTGCGTGTTTGGAGTTCTTTCATTCTCCCATGTTTTCTTTATTTCGCTTCCTATTGTTATCTCTCTTTATTCTTTTCTCTGTGTCTCTGCACTTCATTCTGCTTTTTGTCTTTTTTTTCGTCTTGTCTTCGTCTTTCTATCAATTTATCCGTCTCTTTTGTTCTTTTATAATCTACTCTTCATTTTCTCCCTACCTTCTTTCGGCCTTTCCCGTGTTATACTTGATCTACATCGGCAAGCGCAGTTTTTGTTTGACACTCATAATTGCTCTACTCGGCAGTGGTGCTTGACGAATTCTGGTAGCGCATACCTCTCATGCGGAGTTTTTGACAAAGCCTAATGAACTATGTTATGTTGAAACAACGTCGCTGGCAAAAAACGTGCACCCCAATTTTGTGGCCACCACGTTCTGAAACTCTGAGAAGTTGCTTTCATTGCAATACTAACAACTTGAAAATTGTAGCCACCACGTATATGCAACCAAGTGCGTCTGTCAGTGTTTGTGGTGCACCCGGAACATGTGACACAGAACTCCAAAGCGAGCGCAATCTACATAGCTAGAAGCAAAATCTAAATTTAGCATAGAAGGCTGATTTTTTTATTGACATGTGGGGTTTGACGTCCCAAATCAATATGACAATGAGAGGAGACACCTTAGCGAAAGGCTCTGAAAATTCTGATTTTCTAGGGCTTTTACCGTGCGTCCAAGTCCCCGTGCACCCAAATATGAGCACACGGAGCTGCAGCATTTTCGCCTCCATCGAAATTATTTCCGCTGCAGCCGAAATTGAATCCTGCGATCTGGGAGCCAGCCACTTTAGTGAATAGACCAGTGCATAGGGCCAGATATGCCATATTTAGGAACTAAATGTCGTTATTCGTAGTAATGTGCTTGAATAACTCTACCTGTGACGACGTACCCAGGAAGCCACCCGTCCCGAGCGCCGACGCGAGAGACCCTGGATAATCACAATGGGACACCGACCAATGTACTGCAGCAACAACGACCGAGACGACTGCACCCTGAACGAAAGCATCGTAAGTTCCATAAATATAGAAAACTTCAAAATTGATGTTTCGATGGTATATTCGTGCCTATTGCTCTTTATAATGAAGGGCATCAGCCGGCTTAAACCTAAGTTCTAACGTGAACTGTGAATAGCATGACAGTGACGCCAGAGACCTACTTTTTCTTTTGGTCAGAAGCAATTGCAGCTGACTTGCCTAGTGAAGAGCAAAAGCGACCAAAGCGAGCATGAGACATGCGTTCACATTTAAAACACTATGATATGTACTCAACAGACATTTAAAAAGGAGTGAAGCAGATGCAAATGTGCTCATTTGTCGTTAGAGTGAAGATTCATAGCCATGGAAAACAAGTCAAGGAAAATATAGGTAGCCCAATTTACAGCATGCACCTGCTCTGATGCAGCATGTAGTGAGCAGCAACAAATATGTGGTGGGGAGTACGGTGCAGCTAGGCTCGTAAAAACGTTGCGATAATGAATGTTGCGTAATTTTACAGTATTTTTTGTACGATTGGCTTTACAGGCACATACGCTGTCACCTCTGAAAAGTTGTTCATGCTACGGTGTTCCGTCCACCTTCACGTCTGTGCTCGCGTGTCAGTTTCTCCTATAGGCAAGTCGCGTTACTTTGGTCTCGTGAAGAGATCAGAAGCACTGTTCAAACGCATATTTTGGCGGGGTTGTATGCTTAGTCAGAATGTTATGTTTATTACAGTGTTAGAAGAGCACCAAATATTTTCATTTGGTTGAAAGCTCAGCATAATGCAAGTATTATAAAATTAGATTATAGAAGGGCTTTAAAGAAATGTTGTTGAAATCTGCAGCAGCTTCTCTGACGACCGAGTGTCCATGAAAACATCAGTAGATTTTTAACAAAGAAACGTTTGAAAATAACATTCGTTTAGAAATAATTATACGGTGCAGTGAAGTGTCAGTCATTCATTAGTTTACAAAAAGCACAACTGTTTACGATAGGTATACAGCGAGGCACTGGGGTCGGTGAAGGAATACGTCTGCATAGTTAAAAACAGGGCTCATGAAGGTTCATGATGGTTCATGATGAATTATTATGAATTACCAACTAGCCCACCTTCCCATTCTATTGCAATGTAAAAACAGAGCGACATAAACATGGGCGAGAAATCATGCATGATCAGCGGTGACAGCCAACTGCTTGGCTTGTTGCAAGGAACGAACATATACATACAAATGAAAAACGTGGGAAAGGCGAACATAACGAGTGTTCTGGTGTCACGTGCTTCTGCCGGCGAATTTTTGATTTGTCAAAAGAGATTAGTTTGGGAGATAGCTACGCTCACTATCTGTTAGAATTATTGAGGGCGAGCTGACACACTTTTCACTTTTACATTTCATCGTGAAATAAGGAAAAAAAAAACTCCCAAGCATTTCCCCGAGGGGAACATGGTTAAGTGCGAATGCACGGCGTGATGCTATGAGGGGGAGTAAAGTTAAAATCCGTTGGTATTCGCCAGTGAGTTAACGTAAACTCCCCCGTGTGATCAAACTGCGATTCTCAGGAACCATTAGACCCTCTCGAAAAATTTTGGTGAGTTTACGCGTATATGTGAAAGTGAATTCGCACTATAATGATGTTCATGTCCGCTCCTCGCGCCGTTGCTAGGGGAGAGGAGGAGGCGCACCGTGGATGGCGGATTCAGGGTCGCTTATAAAGTGCATTCGCATTTGAAAATATTTACAGGAATATGATTGGCATTAACGAAGTTGAAACCGGAGAGGCACACACCGTACTAAGTTAGCGAACATGTAATATGCTATAGATGACCTCTTGACAGAAAAAAAATGTGGGGTCGGACATTTTATTGACGAAGACTTCGCAGACAACTTTGAATATTTTTCCTGATTCAAGAAAGGGTAGTGAGCCTCATTGTGAAAGAAACAAGTAATACTAGAGAAAATTAGTGCAGTTATATTTCCCAACAACTAGTCATGATGATGAAGTAGAAATATTTTACGAGAAAATCGAACTAGCAATAAGACAAAGCAGCAACCAGTACGCCGTAATCACGGAAAACTTCAATGTAAAAGTCGGATCTAAACAAAGTGAAGAAGATGCAGTTGGTAGATAAGGTATTGACTCACCAGAGAGTAGAGGAGAGATCACGGCGGCACTGAGTAAAGTAGGCTTCGCACAATGAAGACCTTGTTCCAAACGCGTAAAAATGGGTAGTGGACGTGGAAAAGGCCTAACGCACAAACAAAAATTGAAATTGATTTTGTTGTATGGAGAGAAAAACCACATATGATATAATACTTAATCAGAACAGTCAACTGTGCGAGTTGATGTGCTCTACATCTTGAACGATATTTGTGCTAGGAAAACGGGACGGGAATAGAAAAAGACGCTGTAGCTTGTCTTTTATGTTGCCGTCCCTTTATGATACGCTAATATTTGAAGAAAAACTACAATTTTATTGCTGTTATAAACCAGATATATTGCAGGGATCATAAGTTAGTAGAGGCAAGAAAGGTGCTTAGTAAAAGATATTAAGAAAGATTATCCATAAAAAGAGAAAGCAACCTAGACGTAGTAAGAACAAGAGAGTTTCAAATTAAAATCGAGTGAAGAAATATACACAGCACCTATTGGAGAAGAAGATGCTCATTATGCTGCTGCCATAAGAAGTAATACCAAATTTCTGGTCATGTTGGCAAACATGTATCTTACGATAGCACCCACGTTTACCTTACCATTATGTAACCCCCTCCGTATGCAATACCCCTAAATGGAGTCTTTAGGGTAATCAAATGAAATGAAAAGGAGAACGGGGACACATAAAGAACGAAGGAAACAATAACTGATATTTCAAGCAGCTATCGAAGACGGAAGTAAAGTGCCAGAGCAAGAAATAGGGAAGCTTTACCTGTAAATTAAGGATTTACCTGTCCACTAAGGACAAACTTAGTACCTATAATAGTACTTAGTACCTAGAGGTCGCTGAACTGTAAAAGCTATGAACAAGATGAAAGTTCATGACGTACGGAAAAGCGACCAAAACAGCGGGCACGCCCCCAAAGACAAACATGAAAGTACTATCAACAGCTCAAATAGCAGAATTCGAGTGGCAGAGGAATCCTCTGGTGAACTATATTCGCGGTGAGATTGGGCTATAGGTGGCAGCACTCTCGAAAGATGGCAAGTTGGGTCAGTTGGATTACGTTCATAATTGAAACTTTTTTGAAGCGCACTAAAAAAACAGATGGACAGAAGAGGCTGACAAGGACAGTGCTTGCTCTCAAACTGAATGTTTATTAGTCAGGATAGGTACTTAAAGCGGATACATGATCTTTCGCGCATATGGATCAGAACAGGGTGCAGCAGAAACCACTCGTGTCAGGATTACAAAAATTTCCTTTATAATGTGTCATTTATTATATAGTACAAGCCCTAGGTGTCGAGGTACGCATTTTTTTCTATCATGCAGTGCAATCGTAGCTTCGCTAACACAGTCATGTCCCCTCTTTCGGATGTAGTAAGATTCCACTATCTCACGTGCGAGCTGATCCTTGTGTCGAAATAATATTTCTGTTTCTTTAAACACAAGCTGACATCCGCAGTTTCTACAGTGATCTGCAAGATGACTGTTGCCTGATGCCTTACCTGATCGCGATGTTCTCTAAAGCGGTCGTTCACGCATCTTCCTCACCATCCCGAGCAAGTGTGGATAGGCGGTCGGCGTCGCGTATACAAATACACGCAGCGGCGCTTCGTTGCATGCGGCCTGAGCCGATTGTCGAAGGATAAACTGCGTTGTCTAAAGTTGGCTGTTATTATCTACGCTCTTCTCTACTGAATAGGTGCACGAAGCCTATGCAACATTAACATGCATCGCGAGTAAAGTGCATTCTGCCTTCAATAGAGGTGCTCACCTTGGGTGAACCTCTTCACGCCTTTGCACTAAATCACGCATTTGCTGTGTTGTTTGTACGTGGTTAGCTTGTGTTCAGCCTGCTACGCACTTCTGTAGCGTGACTGAACTGCATTACATTACATCTATTTACATCTTTGTCATCTGCATACTACGAAAAAAGAGAAAGAAAGATTGTAGAAAGCCTGCATATCTGTGTGATTAGTTCAGTACCACCATTCACACCCTATGCGCATGTGATTTTTTTTCTTTAAGTCTGTTCACCATAAAATGTGGGACAGTCGATAAGTCTAGTCATGAAAACTTAGTGGCTGACGGTGCTCTGCGCACTGCGTTTACCGCACGTAAGCGCATGTTCTTGCACAAGTGAAAATACAAAGAAAAAATATGTAAGAATTCAGCAGAAAGCTTTCATGGATCGATTACGTGCATGACAGTGCTACAAAAAAGGCCTGATTAACGGACAAGCACGTTTTTTTTTTGGCAGAATGTGATCACTGCCTTCCGTCGGTAACTAACAAATGCCACACAAATGCTGAAGACAATGTAAAAAATGAAATCTTTAGCGAAATCATATGACGTTATATCTAAGGCATGTCATCTGAATTATTTTCAACGTCTGGGTTTTTAAAGCGTTCGTAAGTCTAAGCACACGATCGCGCACGGTAACTCCGTTTTAGGAACCGTTTAAGTACCGATGTGTCACAGTTCATGTGATAGTAATATTTCTATGTAGTGGTACCACGGACAGATAATACAACTAAGGCTCTTCGCATGATCAACAAACTGCAGTGCCAAAATTGTACACCTACCAACAGCACGCAAGTGCGAGTCCTAACGCCTGCGTTTTTCTTTTGTTTTTTTACAATAGAGTTGCTATAAAACGCTACATTCACACACCATTTACAGTCCAAATGTTTAGAAGAATGCCAAGAACATTTTGCGATGTGCTCTACACAGTAAGTGGCGCCCACTCTGAAATTATTCTGGTGAATGCAGGGTACCGCGACAATAAGCAGCGTTTGGAAAGTTGCACTAGCCGATCTTATTAAAATGCGTTCGCAGCCGAACAAGATTAAATGCTTTCGCATGTCCTTTCAGG